GCAGCAGTAGTACTAGTGGTGGTAGTAGTAGTAGTAGTAGTAATAATAGTAGTAGTAGTAGTAGTAGTAGTGGTAGTATGTAGTAATATAGTAATATAGTAGTTGTAGCAGCAGTCGTTGTTGTGTTTGGAGCCAGAAAAAGTCGTCATGGCCGTGGGAGAAGGAGCAATAGCAGCAATCGTGCAAACACAGTAAGATAACAGCAAAGGGGCGAAGCACAGCAGCTCGTGGCGGTAAAGCTGTCCTGCTTCCTTGGGAGGTTGACCTTGTTGCCCTTCTCCACATCCTGTCGTGGCAACGCAGGGACTCGCCCTTAGGCTTCTACAGTACCGCTTGCATCCCCCTTTCCAGCGGAGCTCTGGAGTCTAACACTCCAAGACCTTCTTCATTGAACCAAGACGTCGACTTGAATTACATCCGGAGTACCCATCCTGGACCCCCACTTCGGAATCCTGAAAGTCTACATGCAAGGCTTCCGCGCACCTGCATGGCTTGCCGAAGCTGTTTGTTCACCTTCCACCTGTCATCACGTGTCTCGCAGCTGCTTCACACCGTCAAAGCCAAATCCAAGCGAACTATATGGTTCAGGGGTGTTGCGCTCACACAGCTCGATCCATCAGGACTCGGCTTTGGGGACTTTTGGCTCCCGCATGGCACAGTCCGAAGCCGCTAACCATTTCCACAAGACCACGCAAACCATCGACCGACAGACTACACAGCTGCCGTTTGCAGACACTTGATGCGCTTGAGTGAACGGAAATCGTTCCGAAAGCCTCTGACGGCCGGCAATCCCCTAAACTCTAGATAATGAACCAAGAAAGATTCCTATGTCGCCGAAGCAGAGGCACCTTACGAAAGAGAGGGTGTCGAAGATGTTTTCCTGCTGTCTCGGATTCCTCTCACGCCTCGGGCTTTATCGTTCTGTACATTACATATGGTACAATCTACGTACATACATACATACATACATACATACATACATACATACATATATATATATACATATATATGTACACATATGAATACATTTTTGCGCAATATATATATACATACATACATACATACATACATATATATACATACGTACATACATACATACATACATACATACATACATACATACAAATATATACATACACAGATATATAACTTTGTACAAAGCTATGAAGCTATGCAGTGCTATACATACCCAAAGCACAGCACGCAGTCTGCATACCTATACTGATTTGTCGGAAGTTCACCCAGTGTGACATCTAGTACACGCTCATGCACACCTGGCGAACACGGGGTCCAATGAAAATCGCACAAAAATATTCGTCTCCACGCAGAGACGATAAAGTGACCGTACATCTACAGGACAAAATAGCAATGCCGTAAAATAACGGCATGGTCCTGCTGTGGCAGCCAAGGCTCTGAAGGGTCCGTTGCTGACGATCCCAATTCTCGCCAAACTCTTCCTCCTGCACATGGGCACACGAGCAATTACAATTCGAAGCCATGGGTGGCGCAGTGTCGAGGATGCCCCCTCGTCCTGAAACTGAGGAATTCATCAGGAACAAAATGAAAGACAGCCCAGATCATGCATAGCCACGACTGACCTAAAGGGGATGTCTCTGGATATCGCTACCTAGGCGCTTTGATCGGATTGTCCCCGCCTGGAACATTGCTTCGACCTTTCGGCGCGAGTGCTGAATCCACTTGCCTCCACTGAGCTGATGCTGGGGTGCGGAGCCCGAACATGCAGATAGAGCGGCAGACAATAAGTTGTTTCAACGAGCATGGAAGCAGCAAAGACTGTGAACAGCCAGGACGACCATGACCGCAAGCACAACGACGGTAACTACCAGAACGACAACACCAGGGCCGTTACAAGAACAACCATGACAACGACAAGAACATTATCCAAGAAACACAGGCGACGCCACTCCCACCACCGCCGCCGCCACTAACCAGCCTCATGGCATTGTTCCTCTTATTCGTGCTTGCATTGCCCATCACCGTCATTGTGGTCATCATGATCACTAATGTGTAGTCATCATGGTCGACAGCCATCGTCAGCATCATCAGCGCCATCATCAGCATCATCGTTATCTCGTCAATCTCGTCGAAGAGCAACCATCACTATGACAACTGTCTCACCATCATCATCGGCATGGTTGTGACCATCGCAGCTCCATCGGCCTTCGTGGGACATGTAGTCCGGTAGCGTTGGCGGAAGGGGCTGAGATAGTCAAACTCTCAGATCCGAACATGGCATCTGCACTTCTGTATACCTATAGTCTTTAAATAATCTCTCGAGCTCGTGCAGTTGCAGCTGGCTGCTACGTGCACAATGGCTGTCTGTCAATGCATGTCGTCCTCCAGGGAGTCCAATCTGCAAGACATGTTTTCCGCCCAAGTTGCACCCTAGCAACTATTCAAAACCGGGCCTTTCTCCATACGCACCTTGTCCTGGAGCTCGGCCCACTCCTGCTATCGGACGAGTCTTGTAGGCACTGGCCCGGCAAGGTACAAACTTGTTTACTTATACACAGCAAGTGCGTCGTCGTCGACAAGAACAAGTCAAGTTGTGCTACAGTATACTCGCACCCACACTACGGCAACGCAAAGTCGCTCGAGCACAAGAGAAGCAAGGGTTGACTGATTGATGTCAGTGTGAGAACTGGAGGTCAAGGCATGTATATGATGAACAGAAGCTTTCTAGTTGTTAAGATGTAACAAGGGCGACCATCACAGTTTTTTGCGCACTAGACACAAAAGACTCTGACACGCCCTACTGCACAACACAGTTTAGGCAAGCTCTCTGAAGACCGGAAAGAAAAACCTCTGTTCTGTTCTCCGGGACGTAGGGGGCGAGTTAAGTCCCCCGAGCCGAATGGCTCTTGTTCGGCCTTATAGGGAGAGCGAAAACGTGAAACAATAACTAAACTCTCTCTTCCTCTTCCTGTCCCTCTCAAGCAGAACGACTCCGGCAAGTCCTCTTCCATTTCTTGCGTGAGGAGCCGGGGCTTCGACGGTCGCCGACTCCACTTCGCCTGACTCCAAAGCCCGAACGGTAGCTCTTGGTCGTCTACTCGCGACTCGCTTCCGCTCGCACATGCTCCAGCCCAAGCGGATTTTGAGGTTTTGGGGGCATCAACCCGTTGTTCTGCTGGCGTTCGTAACTTTGCTGTTGTTGCGGCTGTTCCTCGTTGGTCATTACCGTTGCTGCCAACATTTCCCCATCACTTGTGCGGGCTTGAAGGCTGGGGCTCAAGGTTCAGTTTCACCAGTGAGTTACAAGTAGAACCTCGCACTTGGAGACCTTCAACAAGCAGAAATCTGACACTTCTCCACCTTCTCCTCTGCGACGTAGAAGAATTCTTCCAACTTCTCCCTGAGGTTTGATACCGTGGAACCAAGGGTAAGCAAGGCTCCAGACCGCACGGAAGAGGTATGCACATGCATCAACAAGTCGGGCCCTAACAGTTACGGTAGGGTGCTTGCATACGACTAAAGGGTGACGAGGCGGCTGAAAAAGCCGAAACATACGAGAATATACTTTTCCATGCTTGGTCGGGTGCGGCCATGGTGGCAGGCGAAGGCGGAAGTCTTCTGCTCAGTTGTCAGCTTAGACAGCAGGTGCCTATGGCAAAGATGGAATCCATACTGCTGACGTCCCGGAACCACGCAGTAAGCACAGTCAACAGTCAGCTGAAAACCGCTTTTCCGATCCTACTTGGATCGGCCTCTTGGACTTTTTGGCTTTGACCTTCGTCATGAAACGCGCCAGGGAGAGCAGCAGCGGGGCGTTCTTGGAAGCCCTCTTCTCGCCTGGCAAGTTTCCAGCAGAAAATGCCTCCGCGTAATCCAAAAGAACTGGAGGATGGTCGTCCCAAAATACCACCTTGCCTCCTGATACTCCTGTTTGCGGTCCGTGCTGAAGGCTCCAGGCTTGGGGGCTCTAGGGTTGACAGTCAGACCATGAGCCTCGCATCGGTCTCAACTTCATCAGCTAACCAACCACTAGTTTCATCGCCCGAGGAACACACACCATTTGCCCAGGAGCTGCGCCAGCATAATGCTAATAAACCCCAAGCTGCACCCGGGAAATGCCAGGTAGGAGACACTTAAGCCTTGTTCCAGATTGCTGCGATCACACATGCGTCTGCGCGATTGTGGGCAATGATGACACCCGCTGCCCGTGTCAAAAACACACAATCCTTGGAAAACCTGCAAAAAGGCCCTCACAAATCCGCATCCCAACGACCCTCCTACAGACCTCTACCAACCTCACAAAAGACCTGAAATTCCTTAGGGCCTTAGCCGGCCTTCCTCGGGCTCCGGAGGCGGCTGCTCTGGGTCCGCAGGCGTGGCCGGAGGTATCGATGTACTCTTCGAAGGAGAAGACCCGCTAGGACTGAGTTCGATCACACTCGGACTTGTCGGAGCAAGTTCAAGGAGGGTTTAGGGCCTATTCGTCTGTGGAGTTATGGAGTTTCAGTAGGAGCTTCTACTCTCACACTCTCACGACAGAAGGCCGTCTCGGCTCCTGCTGTGGTTCTGGGGTTTGGTTGTGGGGTTTCTTTGGATGACTGCACTCTGAGAACTGCATCTACCCTAGAACTCTCCCCAGTCAAACTTACAGGCATGTCAATGTGTCTCCAGCAAAACACCTGCTCCTTGAATGCAAGAGAGCCACGACTCATCCGTTTTCTCCACTTCTTCCTTGATCGGCTGCGGCCGGTGCTTGATGGGGCGGCACCTCTGGCCAGGACGGTCATGGTCTCCACATCCCTTTACGAACTCCTGCTCTCATCCATCTGTGACCCAAAGTAAACAACACCCAGGAGGCCCAACATCAGGCCAAGAAGCTCAAGGAATCCTTCACCCAGAATCTGCATCCCCAAACGCATTGACAACATCCGGAGCTCTATCATTGCATGTGCGTCCTTGTTTGTGTGTGTGTGTGCATGCTTTTCTGGGCTATTCATGCCTGAAGTGTCAACGGCACAGTCCTCACTGCCAAACTCTAGACCGCCAAACTCTAGAGCGCCAAACTCTAGACCTTATCCACAAAAGTGCCGAAGGTCCCGAGAAGGCCCCGAAAGCCCTGGGTGCACCCCGGCGCTGTCAGAGGCCGACCCTCTGAGTCCGGCAGACGGCCTTGGTAAGCTCCACAACTGGCCAGAGCTCGAGGTCTGGCTGAAGTGAAACCAACTGAATCAGTGGAGATCGAAACCGAAGAGGCATCCCATGGAGTCTGAAGGGTTTTTTTACCTCTTGCATTAAGGGTTTAGGCTGCATCATTACCTTCATACTGCTCGTGCTCACTCATCAATGTCTGCTCACGCCGTTCAGACTGCTCAGTGTATTCATACTGCTCATACGGTTCATTCTCGAGTTCATTCTGTTCATTCTATATCCATACTTTTCATACTATGCACACTTTTCATTCTACGCATCTCTCGAGGGAGCAGCTTCAGTCCTGGTCAAGCCCCGCTGTCTGCCTGGAGTCTGGAGCATGCCATCCTTCTTTGCTCCGTGTGCGCCGAGAACCGGGCTTGACAAAGGACCCTCCGGGCCCACGTCGTAGGCAAAGTGGCTTTCCCAGTACCCTGCGGCTCTTGGAAAAACGAGCACAACACGCAGTCTCAGCTTCCATTCAGAGGCTGCCAGATGGAGACCCAAGTCTAGCACACTTGTCGCCCAGACCGGCTACCACTTAGAGCAGTCGCTTATGCCTTTCGAAGATGGCCCCCTTCTGTCTTTGGGCTCAAACTTGAGCTCTTCAACTACCATTAATCAATTGGAATCCCGGGCATGGTTCCAAAGCTCCTACGGCCCTAAAGCCCAATCCATCTCGAAGAGCAGTACTTCACAATGTTCATGAGCCACAGCACACTGAAGCTACCTCAAGTTATTCACCATTTCTGCCGATTGAATTCCTTCCGATCCCGGATAGAATGTGCCACCGGAAGTAAGCAACCAAAATCGGCAGTGGGCCTTGGTTTGCACTCCGGTTTTGCAGGCCACCCCTTCGAAGGAGTGTGTCGAACTTCTTCAACGTCTGCAGTACGGTGACGGATTGAAGTTAAGGTGTTTGAAGGCTGAAGGACTTGAGCCACATCTGGGGTTTACCCAGTCAACCTGGGGCATGACTTAGGACCGGAAGCGTTCCTACCGACTTCTTTTGCAATTCCCCGGGTTCCGATGGATCAACTTCTTACACTTAGGAGGCTTTGGAGGTCTCCAGCAGGCGTCTGTGGATGGACCGATTGCACAGAAAAACTGCAGGTTACTACCGATGCCCACGCTGATTGTGCTGCACGCTGCTGCTCGAGGCTAATTGCGACATTGGCTCAGGGGGGGGGCAGGCTGCTAAGAAGCACAATGCTTCTACCGCCCGAGCACGTGGGGCCGGTGATCTCCTTCATTACACACGCACTGCGCACATGGGTAGTTTTGAGGATCCTATGGAGTCCACTTCGCAGGTTATCGTGCGCGCTTCTTCTTGGCCGGCCGGCCTGTAGCCCTCGAGACTGTTGATCCTGGCTGATCCTTTTGCCACATCGCCCGGAGCTCTCAACATGTCTACGACTTATCCGACAGAGGGCCTCGGGCTTGCCTCTGTGGTCTGGAGTGAGGGCGTGGACACCTCATGTCTTCGAATCTGAAAGCCCTGAAATTCTGATTCGGGTCCTGGGCACCACATGCACCTAATCCTCACCCACCCTTGGTAAATGACTCCATACTCCAAGCAAGGCATGGGCTTGATGCGAAGGCATGCAGGATGGGCCCTGGCATGCCTGAAGCTTTTGCAGGCACCTTGAAGCTCAAAAGAGTGCCCTGAAGCCAACTCCGCCAGACAGCGGAATCTGCAGAGCACCTTCATGTGTCCTGCAAAGTTTGAAAGGGGAGCGGTCCGGAAGGGAAGCATGCTTCAAGGGCCGAGAAGATCAGCCGACACGATAGCAAGTCTTTCGAGCTTGAAGTCTCACAATCCACGAAAAATTAGGACCTTCCCCTGTCCGGAACACAAGAGTAGCTGGTGTGTGCAGCCGACGGAGCAAACTCCAAACCGAACTGTTCCAAGGGCTTTTTGTTTAAACTAAGTTAGTCGGTTCAATGCTCGCAAAGATGCCCCAGTTCCGATCGGTCGGCAACGCACAGCCCAGCTTGACCACAACGGCACTGATCCGACAGACAACCTCTAGACTTAGGCGACCTCGATGGCCGCCTCAGCATACATGAGATAGTCGCCGGCTCCGTTCAACTGCACCTGCCTCTGGCGGCGAAGGCGGGCCACGAAGGCGGCGACGGCCACGAGCGCTCCAAGGGCAAGAGACCCGGTGGAGAGTAGCAGCGGCTGCGACCATGCACTGGCCGCAAACTCAGCAGGAGCAGCTTTCTCCTTCTGTTCGTGCGCTTGCTCCTCTTGCTCCTGCTTAGCCTCGGACGCCAGCTCCTGACTCGCAACATATTGGGACTGTAACTAACCGAAGTTTGTAAGACAATGAGGTTGATTGAAATGTCCATATTTCACTGGAAGAGGATGAGATGGACGAGAACATGACGATGTCAATGGTGATGACTGTGATGATGGCGAAGATGGTCCAGATGGTGCAGACGGTGATGGTGGCGGTAATGCGTAGTGGTGATGGTGGTGGTAATGGTGGTGGTGATGGTGGTAGTGATGGTGGTAGCGGCGGTGGTGGTGGCTTTGGTTTTGGTTTTGCTTTAGGTGTTAGCGGTGGTCGCTCTGCTTATCGCTCACAACTTCTTCCCGCACCCTGCGGCCTCTTTCAATTTCTCCTGCTCCTCGGCCAGCTCCTTGTGCAATCGCTCATGCTCGGATGCCATCTCCTCACGGAGGTGCTTCTTCTCCTCCTCGCGCAGCTGACTCTCCTTTGCTGCCTCTGTATTGTCAGAGGGAGCGACGAGCAGCGCAGGGCCATCACTGCCTGCTTTGGTCTCCGCTTTCGCGATTCCGCCCTGCCGCTGCGAGCCCTGACCCTGAGTATACTTGGAATAGTCCATGTACTGCTTGTAGTCAGCGGCACCGCCCTGCCAACAAGGACGGGCGAAGAGCTTTGCGTATGGACAGTCATCCGCACCGAACTATTCACAAACCCAACCAACCAAGTTGTCTGCAAGAGGCTGCAGTAAAAAGTAGATTAGACCATTTCACACATTTGTAAGCGCCTTAGCCGGCAAGTTCCGGCAAATTATCTAGCACAGACGCTCCTCCTGCCGCATCCCGGCTACGCTCTCATGCTACACCCTCTACAAAATGTCTCCAACCTGAAGTCCTCGACCGCACAACGCACAAGAAACGAAGCAAGATTCCCACAAGCCCTGAACCCTGCCCAGCCCAAAGTCCTGAAAAGCAAAAATCAAGCTAACATCCAGTGCTGCTGGTCTAGACATTCCATGTCTCCACTTGTTTGGAACCACCTGGCCTGGGAGCTCTGACCCTTCATGTACTTGCTGTAATCCCCGCTGTAGGACTCCATGTACTTCTTGTAGTCCGATGCTCCGCCCTGCGAGCCCTGACCCTGAGTATATTTGGAATAGTCCATGTACTGCTTGTAGTCACCGGCACTGCCCTGCTAACAAGGATGGGCGAAGGGCTCTGTGCATGGACAGTCATCTGCACCAAGTTATTCACAAACCCAACCAACCAAGTTGTCATTAAGAGGCTGCACTAAAAGCTAGACCGGGGAAGACCCCAGATGGCTGGGAAAGCGTCAGAAGGTTCATGGTTTCGGACATAAATGGTTGTCAAATTGGTTATAATTAACCAGGAAAGTCAACCAGTTGGTTCTTCCTTTTTGTGTTGGGCCCCAGGGTAATTTGGCGCGTGCAGCGCTGTTTTAGGCTCAGGCTTGCCAAGCCGCGAATTGCAATGTCTGGGCTCACTCTTCGTCACATGCCTCAATTGCGGCTTGTGGCGCAATTTGAACTCCACTCGGCCTTTCCATTCTTTCGGGTCGCTGGGCCGGGTGTTTGCCAAGGTCAAGAAAGTCCTATCCCCGACGGTGACAGTCGATCCCTCATTGTACATCTTGTATGTTACTCTGTCGCCGGTCAATCGGGACAGTTGCGTTGGCAAAGTCTTGGAGGCTTCGATTCGAGGATCGACCATTTCCTTTCTCTGTCTTGACGTGCCGGATCCATTTCAGCTTTGGCTCATTCACTTCCCACGCATCATACGTGTAATCATGCGCATTCTTTATGTCCTGTGCCGCAGCAATCAGGGCACCAATCTGCTGAAGATAGTCAAACGAGCTGTCATGCAAATCCGACATGCGCAGCAAACCCCCAGTGCACCAAGCTGTTGCTCCGTTCCCGACAACACATCAGTCAAACAACTCGCTGCCAATCTCGCCGCATCTACAACGGCATGAGGAATGACAGTCGGTGCCAGGTACACTAATGTACCGTGTCCCACAGTCGGAAGAGGGTTTCCAGCCGAGTCAATCAAGGCAAGATTGTCTCGGGCCTCTACGGTCCAAAAGTCCTGCAACAACAATCGGCAATATTGACCAGTGGAAACGGCATCCCAGTGCACACGTAGAACTGTGCGCTCAAGGAATGACCAATGCTACAATCAAGGTGCACCATCTTCCTGCCTTGCACATCCAATGTCTTGCCAGACAAACTTCGCAGTGAGGGCTCGCTCTCATTCAAGTGCAAGGCGGGATATTCCGGTGCAAACCATTCCGGTCAACAGTTTCCACAAGCTCCACTGGCGAACAGTATCCACGACTCATCAACCAATCAAGCTTGCCTGAAACTCAATCAAGCTGCTAGCAGTCTGCACAGGATCAACCTCTGGCTTGGGAGGAGCCGGAACTCCGGCACTCAACACGCTGATCAATAAGCATGCTCGATCCGGCAGTATCCCAGGCTTCGCACTCCGGAGCCCTTCGGATGCTCGATCGGGGCGCATTTTGATCCTGTGCCTCGACAGTCACAGCTGCAACATTTTGCGAAGGTTCACAGTTGGCGGCTTCCTGCGCCGCATTCGCTTGGGCGCTGGACGCCACATTAGAGCTCAGCTGCTCCGTGCTCCACCAGTCTTGTGAATTCCAAGACGGGTCGTCGTTCCGACAACTCCAGTCGTTATCGAACGAACCCATTCCAGTCACCGGACCCATCATCAAGCGAACCTATCCTCTCTTGGCTCCAATCACGATTGCTTCCATAAGACCAATCATCGTACCATTCCTGTTCCCGATTCTCGACCTGATTCACTCTCCTTGTTGAATCTCCTGTTGGTTGTCATCATCGGTCACTGCCGACATTTTCCCCTAGCGTTCTCTCCTCCAGCGGCTCGTGTCGCCACAAACAAACCAACCTTGTCCGCCTGAATTTCCTTTCATTCCTTTTCCTTGTCCTCTCATTCCTTCGCATCTTTCTCTATTTCCATGTCTTGCCTTTGTACGGTCCTTTGCCTGGGCCTCTTCCTTGGTAAATGCCTTTTCCATACTACCCATTTCCTCCGTTCCTTCCGGTCACCGTGATTCCTCATGCTTGGCACAGTCAGATGTCTGCTATTAAGATAGCTAGACACAGTCTCCATGACTTCACCGATGTTACGCACATTAAAAGCATTAAAATCTTTTTGACGCAAATGCTGCGGCATTGGACCAGTTTTGTTTTCTGCATAAACAGTGTCGTCGAGAGGATATTGTCCAACGGCCTGCCAGTCGCCTTCTTTTGACCATTCTTCGAATCATTCAAATCACTCTCCAGTTGATCACTTCTCAGCGGGAACGAAAGGATCTGCTTCAGGAGACTCGTGGCTCTCGCTCGTTCAGCCACTGCAACGTGTCTGCGCAGTCTTCCCCATTCTGTGTCCTCATTTCGAAGAATCGCCAAAGCGGTACCGTCAATGATCTGTGCCAGCATGCACGCCAATCGTCGTGAGGAGAACAATAACAGGTCGTTGTTTTGTGCTCCAGTCTGCTGCACGTCCAAGGCTTCACTCAACTCATTAGCGGTCACTCTCCGGGAACCTTCGACATCATCCATCATTCGCTTCGCAAAGACCTCAGACCAATCTTCCCATGTCTCCAGCTCACTGTGGTGCACTGGTGGTGGGAACAGTCTGATCTCGCCACCAGTTCCTCTCACTCCGAAGTCCGCTACACTACCATGCAAAATTCAACGATTTGTGGCTCATCAATCGCCCTCGACCAGGCCAGCTCCTCGCAGCGTGGCATTGCGGCACCACTCCACCATTTCGTCCAAGCACGACACGACGTCATTCTGGGGCATTCTGATGATGAACATGCAGCCAACTCATGCTGACGACCATTCCCCATTGATATGGCTGACATGGTCAGCAAACTGACGATTAATGTAGTTGTCAAGCTTGAGGCGCTGATTGACATTGTCCTACGCCCATGCCCCCCTCGCGACGGTCATGTCTCGACTCTACGCGATGAACGCGAGCGCGCCCCACCTGCATGCCGCCTGCATGCGGACTGCATGCCGCTGCACCCCCTGCGGCGATGGACACAAAACACCCCACATGCATGCCGCTTGCATGCCACTCTGCGGCAGCGGTGGACACGGCGCGCCCCTCCCGCATGCAGACTGCGTGCCGCTGCCGACTGCATGCAGCTGCACCCCGTTCGGCGGCGGTGGACACTGCGCGCCCCGCACCATCATTCTTGACTGCTTCGAGGGTGGTCCCGGTGGTCTTAATGATGTAACCCGCGCTAACACAGTTATAGAAGCAATGGCCTTCGCCTCCACAATCCTCCTCGGTCCACGTGTCCTTGGTGGCACGTCCTCGGGCGCCTGGGCTAAGCGGCCGCTTGGCGCCTCAGCTCGCTGCACGAGGCGCATGACAGCCCTGAGCACCTGATCATCTCGGGCATTCGAGCCGGTCGGTGTTCGGGCCACCGCCTGCTTGCCCTTGCCCTTGCCTGCATTGCCGCCCTTGCCCTTGTCATGACCGCCGTCTTTGTCTGGTGATCCCTGACTCCGGGCCTGCAACCAAGCCTTCAAGTCACGGAAGAAGTTGTCATCACCGTCGCTATATTGCCGCCCCGGCGTGGCGGCCAGTTCTTCCTGCTCAAGGGTGTGTGTGCAGCAACGGCGACCGAGGGCTCGTTGCAAAATCCAGGGACAGGGTTGCAACCTATCATCTCGAACAACTTCTTGCTCGGAAGAAGCCAGAGGCACGATCGCACGAGTCCTGGGGGAGGATTCTTGATACTGTGCAGACAAGTCTGATTGCGAAGCTAGATTCTCTGCATTCCGTGGAGAGCATTTGGCGTTTGCGCATCGAACTTTGAAGTGTGAAGACTTGAAGGCAGCCTTTAGGGCGAGTTTGCATTTGACGACGTGAGTGAGTTTGCGATTCCTGAGCAAGTGCAGCAAGATTTTCTTCATTCAAACAGCGAATCTTCAACCTTTGAATGCGACCTTGAGTTGTTTGAGTTGTCATTTTCACTGTCTGAGCAAGATTTGAGCGGAGATCAGCAGAGCGCGGCAGACTCTTCTGCGGCATCCTCATCGGCACGAGGGTTTGCGACCATCCGGCCAGGAACAGCAGAGCTAGGTGATCTTGATCAACTTCGCACATCAAGTCCTAAGAGGGCACGATTTTCTTCTTCGCTTAGGGCAAGTGGAACAGTCGATTTGGAGAGTGAAGAGCACGATCTTTGAGTTTTCTTTCAGGGAGAAGTTTTCTTCCACGTTTTCCGGAGAAGTTTTCTTTCACGCTTTCCTGTGGCAGAGATGGAGGGCGATCCTCAGGGACCAGCAGAAGTCCACTGGTATCCCTCCGCTTGCCGCTCAAAACTGCACAAACCAATTGATCATCTGGTTCACAACTATCATGTTCCCCAGGGCCCTGAGTAACAGCGAAAGCTGGGACCGTTGGTGTACAAAGGTTGGTCCCCTGCTGCTCGCCATCAACGTTTGCAAAACCTGCACAACCTAATTCTCCATAACAAGCTCTTGGCTGGCACTTATTGCCAGTCACAGAATGCTCATTGCTGCCAAAACCAAAAGAGGAAAAACCCGAATCGGGCGCCTCACTATCACAACTGCCAAAATGGCTGTCGGCCTTCACTTGGCGAACTATTGCAAAGCAGCCTCTCATACATCTGCGGAGCCTATGCAATCCTCGACTCTTGCGTGCCGCCGGGTACCTTGCTCGGCCAATGCATCTGCACGAGAAAGCAACGACCTGATGAACGATCGCTGGCTGCTGTGGGCGCTGTTTGCGCCGCTTGCGTGCCCTTCGTCGTTGCTTGACTGCCCAGCGCTGTGCTATGTACTGCAGCTGTCTACGCCGGCACCTTTCATGAACGCACCCTGAGCCCCGCCGTCCTCGGTGGGGACGGCCTTCTCCACGACCTGCTGTCTCCTCGCCTGGTGCCACGCCCCGGCGTCCCTCAACACAGAAGCTAAGAGGAAATTCAGCAGGCTCTGCCACAACCATGCTAACCAACCAACCCTACCCGCTCTACCCGGCAGCCCAATGCCCTGGCAGTCACAAGAAAGGAATGGCTCATCAGCATCTCTACCCTGCCACCTGTGCAAGACGCGGTCCTTGGTAGGTTTGGGCCTCCATCGCGCGAGGGCCCTTTGGTCCTCGGACCCACATTCACACGGCACGCCACATGACGGGCTGGCAACCGAGGGCCACAGAGGGGCCCTAAGTGCCGCAAATGCCCCAAAACACAATGGGCTGGCAACCGAGGCCACAGGGCCGCCCCCAGCGCCGCAAATGCCTTCAAGCATGCATGATGGGCTGGTCACCGAGGGCCTCAGGGGGGCCCCAAGTCCCGTAAAAAGACCTCATACATCGACCGTCAAACTCGTGAGGGCCTTCGAATTTGCTGTAACAGCGCAGTACCCCGGTATCTGCACGGCCAAATTCCTGTTCATCCAGAATCCATATCAGTGTCGTTGATGTTCTGCTCCTGGCACTGCCAGGCCCGCTGGCGCCCCTTGGCGGCACATCCTCGCCAGCTCTGGTAGTCCGATGCTCCGCCCTGCGAGCCCTGACCCTGAGTATATTTGGAATACTGCTTGTAGTCACCGGGTGAAAGATTTAACAGTCACTATGCCTCGAGAGACACAGGGCTCAAGGACGGCCAGAAGGCCGTTGCCCTACACAGGCAATGACACCTCAGTAGCACAACGCTGCTGCCCAGGACGATGTCACAGCTACTCCTCAACACCCAAGCGCACGCGAACTTGTTCGCGCACATCCCATCCATCGGAGCTGCGCCGCAGCCAGAGAGGCACTCTCTCCCGGCATCGGCCATCCCAGACGACAGGCCTCGTCCGCAAGAGGCCGCGGAGGCCTGTTTTCCACACCGACGAGCCCAGTGCAGTGCCAGACTAAGTGCTCCCATTGCACCACATGACCGTACTTGCGCTTCTGGTAAAAAGCTGTCGAATGAGCGGCGCCCAGCATCACAGCTTTGCCATCAGAGCCCGCGTCCTGGTACATCGGGATGGCCTTGCGCACCTGGTCTTCGCTGAAGGTCCAGTGAGCAAGTGCTCTAGAATCGCGCCGATCAGCTTGCACAAAGCTTTCGTGCAGCTGCTGACGCCATTGTGCGCGAATCTTATGCTCCATGTGTTTGGGAGGGTCCGTGTCGCAATCGAGGCGTCTGGTGGCAGTGCTGAAGACTGAGCCACCTTCATGATGCCAGCCATGCCCTGTCAGGAAACTGGCAACCGTCCCAAACCATGTACCCTCACCGTTTTGAGCCGCCGGCTGTTGTGCAACCCCAGAACTACGCCACGCCCTCAGTGCGTGGAGCCCCGCCGCGAAAGGCAAGTGCATCGCATGACCCTCGAGGATCTGCTTGAGGCCCGAGTGCCCCATCCGGCGACTAGAGACAACCTGTTTAAACAGGTCGGCAAACTGTGCAACGATCTCCTTGGCAGGCGGTTGGAACAAATGTCCCCAACTCGCCTTGGTGATGACGCCAGTGCGCCACAGATCACGTCTGATGGCCACGGGAATGGCCCTGTTGAGGAGCTTACGGCCCATCGTCAAGGCCGTTTTGACCCTTGCTTCTGTAGTTGGGCAGAAACCACTCGGAGAAGCAGTGAGGTCGACCCCTAGAACCCGAACCGAATCCTGGAGGAGATGCCCTAAACCCAGTTCCCGAAGCCTATGCCTACAGGCAGCACCACGCGTTACAATGGCTTGTTTGCGTCGGTCTCTTTGAGGCCCAGCACATTTGACCAACTCTCCCAATGCGCCAATAGTCGTGGCACATCGTCCGGAGCCGACGTGAAAGCTCGATCATCCAAGAAGATGCTCTGCTCAAAATCCTGAAGGCCCAACCTGCGTGCCTCCCTGCAAGCAGCGGAAAGGAGCACGTTCAGCGCCAGTGGCGAGAGTCCGTCCCCTTGGGGCATAGCCGAGCTCACATACTGCGGGTCGCGAAGAACATAACCTCCGAGCTCCCTGAATCGTTCCTGTGTCCAGGTATGTGACATCGCAGCCAGCAGTATCCTAGGAAAACCCGCTTCGGCGAGGACGCGCGTCGCCAGCTCCGGATGCACGTAGTCGAAGCATTTCGCCAAATCTAAACTGGCAAGTGCAGCTCCCCTCTGAAATGCCCCGCTGAGCTTGCCCAGGCCTTGGTGGAGATGACGGGCCCGGATACCGCCGAACTGACCGGGCTCCACCACTTGATCAACCCAGCTTTGCATCGACTCATGACTCATGAGTCGCAGCAGCGGAGCTAACGACCCTCCAAAGAATGCTCATGATCGCGATGGGCCGAAGACCATCAGCTTTCACGACGCGGCTAGAGTCATCGCCACCTTCTTTGGGAAGATGGACTTGTCGCAGTTGTCTCCAGGCACGAGGGAAGATGCCTCGCCTCATCCAGCGGTCCAGGAGTGCACTGTAACAGATCCATGCCTGGAGTGGCCACGTGCTTGTTTCGGCCCCTGACCACCCGTCCGGCCCGGCAGCGCCGGTTTGTTTGGCCGCGGCGGCCGCACGCAGAGCCTCAGGAGCCCACAATGCACTAGCGCGCCCTACGAAGCGGCTGCGACGCCCAGACTGCTTCCATCGCCGCACGGCGGCAGCGTGATCATTACTGGGCCTCTCCCAAATGCTGCTCCAAAACACTCTGAGGTTGTCCAGACTAGTGTTTATTGAGAGCGATGTCGGAGGCGCATCGTCGGGGGAATCATGAGATGCAACCCTAGTGATGACACGCCCTTTGCCCTGAAGCCACCGCGATGCCCGTTTGCCCCACGCAGCGAGGTCCTGTTGCCATCGGCAAACGGCTTGCCTGGTACGTGCATGTTGTGCATCCCCGATGGCCTGCGCAACGGTAGCAAGAGCATCCTCAAGGTTCTATGTGTGAAAGTCCCCGAGACGTCGAGGCCATGCACGCACCACGTTGGCCTGGATGGCCCTTGTGTCACGGCCGAGGCTCAATTGACGCTGCCATTCTCGAAGACGACCCTGAAGCTTAAGAAGCCCCTTCAGCTGAAAAGTCTGGTCTTCCAGAGCGCCCCGGGCACCTGAAGCATGGGCCTGAACTTCATACAGAGAACCCTTCACTCGCCGCCGAGGCGGGTCATTGATATGAGCACCACAAGCCTTAGGCCTTATAGTCGCGGCCCGCATGGCGGATTCGGCCTGATGATTGAACCATCGCCATTCGTCCTCAGTGGTGAGCTCACCTTCATCAGGAATCTGAACATCCTGCCAGAACACAGCCTGAGCCTCAGTCCATTTTTTCCCCGGAGTTCCCGTGGGAGGCAGGTAGCAGGTGGTGAGCCGAGCTCTACAAAGCGACTCGCGGCCAGAATCCTGAACCCGAACCCGGCATGCCAGCATGAAGTGATCACCGAGTGTGCTATCGCACAGCGCAAGGTCAGACACCTCAGCCTCGTTGCCCAACACATAGTCGATGCACCGTTGGCCATCGACCCTGGTGGGAAGAGGGCGGCTTTCTTCATCGGTAGCGGCGTGTTTGCTGTCATACGGACAGTGGTAATCCCAATAATCGACATTATGATCCCCCATCGGCGATGGACGGCCCGGAATCCGCGAGCCACTCGGCCACCGCATCTTGATATGGCTCAGGAGAGGCCGACGGTTTGCGATGCACATTGGGAGCCCTTGCCGCACCAGTGTAGGCAGACCACCTCTGGCCACTCGTCGCCCTAGGCTGTCGGTGCCCTCCTCCGCAGGCCGTGCGTACAAGTGAAAGCCACGCCTCTCACACATACCCGCCAGCTCAACATGAAGATCTCTTGACAGATTAGGCTCCTGAATCGCAATCACATCAAAGTCAGAGAACCACCCCAGCTGAAGTGCCTGCACTAAATGATTGAACCCCTGCGCGTTCCACGACATAACATGGTAACTAGATGGTCCCGGGTTAGGCTCCACATCTCCGTCCTCGCAGAGGTTTTTAATGTAGCATCTGCGCGGGTCCTGCTTGTCGCTAGGGCAGCGGCCAAAAGAGCGCTGCCAAACCCCAGTAGGCTTAGCACTGGCCTTCGCACTGGCTTTGGCACGCGGACGCTTTGGCGCAGCAGTGCGACGAGGCCTATAATTACTGCCGCAGATCCACCTTTTTGAAACGCCTGGCCAAGCGCGCCTGATGAAGGCCCTCAGTGCCAGTGCAGATGCCCTGGTCCTCAAGGATGGCCGCGAGATTTTTGAGCGGCGTCCAGTGCGCCGGGCACGAGCTGCAGCTCTTGATGTGCCGAGCAATGCTGTTAGCTTTGACATTGCGATGACAGCCCGCCGGGAGGAACTGCCTGCAGTGAAAGCACATCCATGCAGGATTCTTGCAGTCGGGGACAGCGTCGATGGGAAGGTGGGGTTTAGGGCCCAGCCTAGAGAACCGCGCCTTGGGGACATGCTTATGCACACGCCGAATGTGATTATTACGCAAGTGTCTCAAGTTGTCAAAAGCCTCGGACACGAGTCGTAACTTGCACACGTCACACTTCCAACCAAACTTGCGCTTACCAACGTTGTGAGCCTGCTTTCTGGCCTGCGCTGCCTTGGTGGACCAATGCACCTTGGCCGCACCCTTCTTGACGCCCCGGTTAAGCTTAGACCTGCTATCCTCTAACGTGCGCGGGACAGGAGTCTCTACAGCAGCCTCTCCTCCTACGTGGGTGCCCCGTGCACGGGGGGTGCTAGGGGAGGGACGCAGCGCTGTGGCCCACTGGTGCTGCGCAACACCAGCATCGGCCGACACAGTTGCCTCAGCTTCTTGAGTGCACGCGGTGGGCGTGCCAGGACTGCGGGCACCGCTAGGTATCCATGAAGTGTCACACGTTTCAAGCCACGACTCCTGCTCGTCTCCTCCTCCACGCGGTGCAAACGCCTGCGGTGGCAAGGCGTCAAGAGGAAGCTTGGCGTAGCTCGGCACGTCGCCGTGAGGCAATAAAAGTGTGTAATGCCCTAAGCTGTGTCTCAAATAAATGCTGATCTGTGACTTGGGGTTACGATAATGCATCACCTGCGAAGGATTGGCAAGATCGCCGCAAATGAAGCAAATGCTTATTCCGAGAAGTGAGGTCGCGGCTCTGAACGCAATTTCATCTGCATACCGTGCCGGCCTGTAGACAGCTTTCACATACTCGTCCCATGTCTGGGGAACGTCACCATCCTCGATGGTGCGCAGCACTGCGCGAGCAGCCTCCTTGTCCTCGGCATCTTTGTCAACTTCTGGCACATAGAAGTAGGGCCTGAACTTGCCCGGCGATTCGGCAATGTACGTGGCCAGCCGACTGCGAAGGCCACGGCCCTTGGTGGGCAACTCAGCTTGCAGCTCTTGGATGGTCCCTCCTGATGTTTTAAGGATGAACCCAGCCGTGACGGAGTTGTAGAAGCAGTGCCCACCGCCTCCACACTCAACTTCCTTCCAGGCTGGGGAAGCAGCCTTCGGCGGTCTGCCCGGCTCCTGTGTCTTCTCGCGCGCGCGTTTACCCGCAACAGCAGCTGGTGTACCCGAAGCGTTTTGCCCAGGCTCTTCGGCCGTCGGCTGCTCGCCGGTTGGAGCCTCCAAGTCCATTGGGCTCCCTCCCGCAGCCGCGCCCGCCGCAGGAGCACTAGGCTTGGCGTCAGTTTCGGCATTCTTGCCTTTAGCCTGGCCTTTGCCGCGGCTGGGCGGCTGCCAAGTCCTTTCCTGCACTTGACTGTCCCTGACGCGTCGCACCACACGCTCAAGGTTCAACTTCCTCTCTCCCGCCTCAACAACCATGGCCAGCACACCAGTATCTCCGGCCAGATTAGCTCGAACGAGCCACGGCTTGGGGCCTTCCGCCGGGGCGATAACACTGGCATCAGCGAAATCAGCTCCTTCAAGTGCGTTCAAAACGTCTTCAGCACACCAGCTTTTAGGGACCCCTCTGACTCGCCAACTGGCAGGAAGCTCCACGGACTCCCCCTTAGCACACCGCACTCCCTGGCTACGGTAAAAACCATCTTAGACCTTTTCAAATACTTCATCTCCGGCAACTTGTCAAGCACAGACGATAGACGACCCACCTTCGGCTGCATCCCGGCTACGCTCTCATGCTACACCCCATATAACAGCCTCCGTCCTCAAAAGGCTGTTCACGCGCGCCCATCACAGGATACAGCGCGAGGCTTCAGAGGATTGCATGGCGAGCGCAGCAGTTTCAGGATGTGGAGCTTTGGGTTATTGAGTAGCTTCAATACGAACCTGTGCTGCGGCCTAAGCGTCGGACACATCGAGGTGCTTAAGTAAGGGTGGCTGGTGACAGAAAATCTTCAACAACAGACCTGTCTGAGCTGAAACTGGTTGCTCGCGACTCCATTTTTGCCGGCCAAGGACTCACAGCTTCACCCAGTCCTTGTCCTCTGAATGCTTCAGAAAGTTTTGAGGGCTATGCCCCAGCGCATGCACACATTCCTTTCTGTACAGCGATAACGCGTTGGCGCAGCCGCTGTGGGGCCTGGACAGTGGCATCCACCCTCTGCGGCGATGTCCTGCCCAGCAAGTTCTGCTTTCGCATGAGTCCTTTGACAGCCGAGAATTGGGACTCGGCTTTGTTGTCGCCGGGCCACTTTTCGCGGCGACACCACAGCAGACTTGTCTTTGCAGCTGGATGGCTGCTTGACAAGTTGACGTTGCTTGGTGTGTAAGCTTGGATCTGTATCAGTCGGAGCATGTTTTTGACAGAAATAGCTCTGGGTCGAAATCTCACTGCGCTGACGGCTTTTGAGGTCATCGTCATGTTGTTTTCATGTCATGACCCGCTGTGAAACGAAGCACTGGGCAGACAGCAGACGGCAGACGGCAACAACGGCTTTTGCGGCCATTGCAATGCCTTCTTCAGTACGGCAGTATGCGAGAAGGCTACTGAAAGCGGCCGAACTGGACCTAGAGTAGCAGCTGCAGCAGCAGTAGAAGCGGTAAAATCCCCGTATGCAGTGGCAAAGCAGTGGCAGCAGGAGTGGCAAAAGTGGAGTAGCAGCACCAGCACTAGAAGCCCCGTCGTCGCAAGACCGGACCCCAAAAAGGAAGGAGTCGTAGCGCTGTGCATGCGATCAAGACGGCATCATCTCCCACCCACCGCGCCACCGCACCTATGAAGATGATACTGGGTTCAGGCCTCCAGATGTCTCTGGGCAAGCATCCAGAAAGTACGAGATCGCGCCGTTAGACGCACACAGCCGCCTCCCTCCCCCAAGAAGCCAGTACCCAGGCACCTCCTCCCCCCAGACCTCGAAAACAGCGACAAGCGTGAGATTTTTGGCAGGCGAAGTCCGCGAAACACTGCAAATACCGATGTCTCGGAGGCACTCATCCCCGCACCCCTGCTCCCCCCCCGCCCGGAAAACAACGGCAGTCGCGACGATTTCGGCTACGAAGCCCACGAAACACGGCAAATACCGAGGCGGTCGGTGCGTGTGCGGCGCGCTCGCGTGAACAGGGCGTAGGAGCGCGCAAGAAACGAAGCAAGATGCCCACAAGCCCTGAACCCTGCCCAGATTAAGTTCTGAAAAGCAGACGTCAAGCTAACATCAAGAGCTGCTGGTCTAGGCATTCCATGTCTCCACTTCTTTGGAACTGCCTGGCCTGGGAGCTCTGACCCTTCATGTACTTGCTGTAATCCCCGCTGTAGGACTCCATGTACTTCTGGTAGTCCGATGCTCCGCCCTGCGAGCCCTGACCCTGAGTATATTTGGAATAATCCATGTACTGCTTGTAGTCACCGGCACCGCCCTGCCAACAAGGGCCGCGCGATCAGCTGTGTCTTCGGACTGTTATCTGCACCCAGGTTTCAAACAACCGATTTCCCTTAAGAGGCAGCAGTGCAAACCATCTTAGTACCTAGACCTTTCTTGCAGACACTTGACGTCCCGCAACTTATCAAACACAGACGATACACGACCCACCTTCTGCTGCATCCCGGCTATGCTCATGTGCATCCCATGCAAACAGAGGACCACACGGAAAGCGAGCGGTAAGCGCATGCAAGGCCCCTTCTGACAGTCTGCGTGCCCCAAGATGCCAACTGATGCTCATGATGCTGGGTCCATGCACCCCGCAAAACCCCCTCACGAACAATTGATACAACGTTCCGTTCGCGGTCAAGCTCGCTTTCTGTTGAGGGTTTTCTCGATGCGCTTTGAGCCATTTGTTGCACATAGTTTGGTTGTGTTTGAGTTCTAGAATCCAAAGCCCTTGTATTTAGAACTTCTGGGAATACTGATTGAGCTTGCCAAGACAACTAAATCCAAGTACTGTCTAAAAGCATGGTCCATGTACGCTCAGCTTCGTGGGTCATGGACTCAAACTTATCGGTTTTCAGCGCTGTGTCGTCTTGAGGGAGCCCTTCCCAATGCGTTTTGAGCCATTTGTTGTCAACAGTTTGGTTGGCTTTGAGTCCTTCTGCCGCTTTCTGTGCCCGACTCCACATTTTAGCACTGGCGCTCGACCAGGTCAGGCGAGGCTCAACATACATCATGCCGCTTCTTCTGCTTGCCTTCTCGGCAACCAGTCCTAATGCCAGAACTGAAAGAGCAAGATAGATGATACTCATGATGCTGGGTCCCTGCCACCCCGCCTCCTCCGCACCCATGCAAATCCCGACTGCCACCGGTCCCCCACACCCCGCGCGATGAGCTGTGTCTTCGGACTGTTATCTGCACCCAGTTTTCTCAAACGCTAACAACCGAGTTTCTCCTTAAAAGGCTACGGTACAAACCACCTTAGACCTTTTCAAACACTTCATCTCCGGCAACTTGTGAAGCACAGACGATAGACGACTCACCTTCGGCTGCATCCCGGCTATGCTCTCATGCAAAAGAAATGAAGCAAGATGTCCACAAGCCCTGAACCCTACGCAGCTCGAGTCCTGAAGGCAGAAACCAATCTGGCATGATAGGCATTCCAACTCTTCGCCTGTCCGGAACTACCACCTGGCCTGGGAGCCCTGACCCTGGGTGTACTTCGCATAGTCCATATACTTCTCAAAGCCGTTCTGGCCAGCCGAGTCGTCCTTGCTTTTCTTCTCTGAGTCGTCCTTGCTTTTCTTCTCCGAGCCGGCCTCGCGAGCACTCGTGAGGATCCCGGAGAAGGGTGGTCAGGTCGTTTAGAGACTCCTTGCTTAACGCGGATCTCTTACAATTAATGGGCTCTATACTTGCCTCCGCTGCGGCGAAGCTTACTGCCTTGTCTGCATCTCCAGAAGACTTGTCAGACTCGGACGACGGCATGTACTTAGAGGCATAGTTGCCGGCGTACTTCGACATGTACTTGTCATAGCCTCCGCCACCACCGGAGCCGTACTCCGAAGTGTACTTGCTGTAGTACTTCTGGTAACCATCACTACCACTGCCGGCTGCTCCCTGCATGTACTGCTGGTACGGAGCAGCATGCTGGCTCATGTAGTCTCCGCCTTGGGACTGAGCTGAAGAAAGGACGGGGAGAAGTCCCAACAGCGACAACACTGCCATGGCTCTGTGCTGGATAGGGCCAGGTGCGAACTTGAGCACTCCAAATTCTGCCATCTTGTGTTGTAGGGCTGATACTTAGCTCAGAGTCCTCTGGTTCGGCAAGTCTCGGCGGTCCCTCTGCTTAATCTGAACGCACGTCATCTAGACTTGGCGAGTACGACAATCTAAGAGTCTGAATGAGGGAAGCCCTTGCAGCCTTCGGGAGTTCGAAGGTGACTGTGTCGGGGACTTCACACTGAGCATGACGGGGGCCTTGCATCGGATCCCAAAGTCTGTAACTCCCGGCCTTGTCCCAGTTGTAGTCGCCAATCAGGCCTGAGAGCCAAAGACGCCCAAGTCATATTTGGACTGTTGACACATCGCCGCATTTTCGAAGCCCCAAGACAGGAGTCGCACCTGTCCGACCTCAAGAGTCCCAGCATGGTCTGGCCATGACGCACTTCCAATCCCAGTACTGAATGCCCGTTTATTTCGTAGGCACGAGTGGCTCCAGCACTCTAGCGGTGCTTTGGGTAATGGGGCCGATCTGAAGGAGGGAGCCATGCAAGTTTGCAGGCGAGAATTTCTCGCCCTGACAGCCAAGTCTACGGACAAAAAAAGCCTAAAAGCCCTAAAAAAAACACACCTTTCGCATCTCTCGGGAAAAGGGGCTCATCGTGGAGGATTGCTTCTTGGAGTCCTGGACCGCCGGCTTCTTGAGCCTGGCACGCGGCTAGGGGGGCCTTTGGCCCCAGGTGTCTGCGTCTCTTTGTTGGTTCCTTTTTTACTTTTGAAGCCGCTAAGATTGCCTGGCTGGTAAAGGAGGAGAGTTGGAGATGGAGGTGAGGGGGTGGCTACTGGAAAGGGTTCAGAGTCTTTATTGCCCGGACATGTCCTTAGCATGTCTCCTGTGATCTCTCCAGTGCGCTTCACTACTTCGCACTCGAACCCGTGAGACTAAAACCCTTCTCAAGTGTCTCAGCAGAGCTCATCTGTCGGGAACCTGAAGTGTTAAGCAGTTTCCCTCGACCCAAGCATGCAAGCCGGGCATAGTTTTCAGCATGGACGTCTGCAACGACATCGCCGAGACCAGAGGCTTCTCGGACGCAGCGTGGCTGCCTTGCCTCCCGCAAGAAATCCGGGCGGACGCGGGGCAGGAGTTTCAAGAGCCGTTGCCTCTCTTATCTGAAAAATTCGATGCAATTCTTGTCTTCCTTCTGGAAGGGGCCCGCGTCCTGTCTTGACCCCTTCCCTGCCCCTTGCCTTGATGAAGCTGCATCAGCTGCCAGCTGCGCCTGAACGGAAAGAGTGTACGGCATACGGCATCGCAGTAGGGTACCGTAAGCCGTATGCTGTGATCTCCTGGTGAACGAACAGCCTGGGCTCCTAGTCTCCTAATACTCAGCGAGGCTGCTTCGGAATAAGTTGCTCGTTGGCCTCTTCACCAGATACTACGAGGACCGGAGCGAAACTACCAGATTCTGCCTCACCAGTACTGTAACCCCACGAGTAAGCTAAACTGAAACTGACCTTTTGGCTGATTCTGGCGGCAGTCAATCTCTTGAATCTAAGGCAAACAAGAGCACCCAACCACTGCCCCCCTGCAAATCAGCTCACACTATCCTAAACCTTAGATACTCTATCTCCACTTCACTCCTGCATGGGCCATTAGAGTGAAACGGTGCAGAGTAGCCCAGGTACACTGGAAAACCAAGCCACTACACCGAGCTACCATGCCCCGAGCCCATCAACACACATCTGTCTAACGGTTCTTCCAGCATCATCCAGTGAAGTTACAAGCAATTCCGACTGCCGTGGCTGATCTTCAGAGTTCTGGCAAGTTGAGTACGGTTCTCAGCTTCCGCAGGACCAAGACCAGAAGCGCGATTTTAGCAAGCGACTCGCGAAGGTTGACATGTTGCGCCATACGAATTGTCGGCCCTAGGCTGAAGTTAAAGACGTCTTCCTACAGCCTTTGCATCCACATTTCGGAAGATAACTTCCCACGAAAGAACTGACCAAACCCCAAAGCCCAGAATGCCCGATGGCCTCCCTCAGTCGGTCTGACAGGGTGGTGGAGGTCGTGGAACCACCAAACCGCTTTTTGATGGAGCCTCCCGTGTCCAATTTAGGGCTTTAAGGATTTTCAATCGTTTGGCGAGTCGGAACCTCTCCCGCTCCGGATCTGAGCCCGATCTGAAAAGCCTCATGCGATCGCAAGTTCCTGCAGCTGAGCCCAGACACACGGTGACGGTGAGACACACACACACACACATAGACAAAAGGAAGAAACCCTGCTAGCAAGGCGTATGCGATCGCCGCGCCGAACAAGCATGAACAAGCGAACATGCACTCCAACCACCACCAGTCTTGCGGCCTGTTTTGGTGACGGCTGAATGATCCGAAGCCTCGTTTGCCTTATCAGCGGAAAAAAAGCAAACGGGGTTGAATGCAAGCCGGTATCGACCTCAACCATCTCACTCCAGTTTGGCCTAGCTCACTTCCGTGGAAGGTTCTCTGAGACTCAAGAAGCAAATCTTGAAAAGCCGTTGGATGCAGCTTGACTCAACTTCGCCCAGGTTTGGGCATTAAGCCACATATCACGACAGCTATCTGAGCTTACAGCTGAAAAACCATGACCTATTGCGCAACAGCTGCTGAATGCATGCATGCAGTGCATACATAAGCACATACACAGAAGAATAATTAGTACAAGTTGGAATGGAAAGGAATACATGTACGATGTATGCTGGTTGTATGTTTATATATGTATATAGAAAGATGGGTAGATGGATGTATGGAACGATAGATTAGATTAGATTAGATTGGATTGGATTACATTAGATTAGATAGATAGATAGATAGATAGATGGATACCGTGTGCGTGCCCCCAGTGACATCATGGCCATTCGCTGCGTGCGCCGAATGCGCCGAATGCACGGGAAATGCGCTGAATGCACCCGTTGCGCTGGATTGCGCTGAATTCGCCCACATGCGCCAGATTGCGCTGAAATGCTTCCGTCTCGATCATTGCACTGAAGTGTGTAACCCGATTGGCTTTGTGCAGCTTGCAGCTCACGGGCATAATGCCTGCAGGCCGTTCCTTGTGGCCTCCGCCGGCAGTTGCTGCAGTCCTTTCATAATCCATAAACGAAATGAGGAAGAGAGAGCTTCCACATCGATCGAGTAATGTGTCTATACCTTGGACTGATGGGGTGCCTCTGGTGGTAAATCAGAACTCTTACAAACCTTGAACTCCGGGGATAAAGCCTTGGACTGGTGGCGCGCCGCTGATCTTAAAATCACAACTCTTTCTGCGAGGATGGAGCCTTGGACTGATGAGGCGCCGATGTTTTTTAAATCAGGACTCTTAGAATACAAACCTTCAACTCCGAGGATGGAGCCTTGCACTGATTAGGCGCCCCTGATTTTTAAATCCTCTTGCGAACCTTGAACTCCGAGGATGGCCTGATGGGGGCTTGTGCTGATGGGGCGCCACTGACTGTTAAATGAGAACTCTTACAAACCTTGAACTCCGAGGGTGGGGCGTTGGACGGATGGGGCGCCCCTGATTTCTGTATCAGAACTCTTACGAACCTTGGACTCCGAGGATGGAGCCTTGGACTGATGGGGCGGCCATGATTTTTCAATCAGACCACAAAGCTTGAACACCAAGGGTGGGGCCTTGGACTGATGGG